CATAAAATATGAAATGAACTGTCTCACTTCTTTTCACTTTGAGTGTACCAAGAAGGAAATTCAATAGAAACAAGCATTTAAAAGCAAAGATAAAACAATAACGGTTGGCAAAGCCTTTCTTCTTTTCACTTTGAGTGTAGCAAGAAGAAAATTAGGACATTCAAAACAAATTAATCCATTTTAAAAGTGAGTGCCATGAATTGGAACGGATATGAAGAATAGGGTTTAGAGAATGGAAGCAAGGGAGATAACTTGCCATAACACACATAACAGCACAAAATTAAGCCTTCATTGTCTTCTTCTTATGCTTCTTTTTGGCCAGAGGTCTTGCGCCAGCATCTTTACTTGCCAGTTTCTCCTTTATCAATCTGTCATTCCGCTCAGCTTCATCGAGAAGTCTTGCTATCCTCATGTTGTTGATTTCCATTTGCATTCGTATCCGATCCATAAAGTCTGGGGTCTGAAACAATAATAAGGTTCAGATTCCTTCTCTTGCAATGATTTTTCACAAAACATCAACAGCACTGACATGATATACTTACCACTACAATTCTCACCGTCTCTTCTGACGGCTGATTGCTAACCATGGCAGCTAATATTCTTGTCTGGAACAAACATAATGTCCACTGTACAGGCCAAATTACGATTCGAATTTAACAATACCACGAGAAAAGTGGCCTAAACCTTGAGAAACATAACCTAGAGAGTGCAGCATTGAGACGCAATTTGTGAAGAAAGTTGTGAAGCATACCGTACGAGGCTGATCCAGAACTTTTCCACTCTATCGAAATGTTTCTCAAAATGTTCAATTAAGTTAAATAACTACGAACTTACGCAGAAATCGTCGATCGAGTGACAGACAACAAAGGCTTGGTTGGCTTGGGTGCCCGCCGTCAAGGTAGATGACAGTTTCGCACGAATCTAATTGAACTTTAACACTCCACACACGCCAAAATTGACGGAAAACTGTTGCTGTGACTTCACCTGGTAAGAAAAACCCTTGCAATACCTGCAATGACTACTACAAACGCTTATTTGCGCGTTTCCACGCCGTCTGACAGACGCTTCAGACGCCGCGAAACAAGTAAACAACAGGCGGCCATCTTGGGGAGATTGGGTATCAGCGGGGAGGAGTGGCGGGGCAGGGTGGGGG